ATGATCAAATGCCTTTTACCAAATAAATTCTGCTGTTGATGAAATAAATAGAAGAGCTACTGCAAGACACTTAGAAGTTAACACAAATTTAGAAAGCTTAAGCAAATTTGGTTAAATATAAATGAAATATATTTGAGGATTCAGTTTTTTGGCGTATTAAAAGTTCACCTCAACATTCATGATCGACTAAATACTGTGGATATATTCAAATCTATCTAAGCTTATTGTCCCGAGTGCTTGTGTATGCATGGCTTAGATGCTGTGCCCCCGCCTGTATGTGCTCCACCATTTCCGTATTCATGGCGTATTAGATCCCACTTTTGTCCCCATTTTCTTGTAATAATAATTCATGATTGTGTGGCAGCTAAGCATCGGTAGAATTATCGATGTACTGCTGTCTATGATGATGATGATGATGACGACATATAAACAAAACAAAGACAAAATTAAGATAAAATACCCTTTGTTTTTTTCCTTGAAATGAACTGAAACACATGAGCAAAGTTTTGTGTTTGGTTTCTTTAAAATTTGAATTTTGGAGGAAGAAAACATTATTTGTTTATATATACACACATACAGTTTACCAATTATGTTATTAACCTATGACCTTTTACATGATATAAAAATTGGACAAACCATTTATACCTGACCATATTTGCATGTGCTGCTATATTTAACTACTGATGGTTCAAATTTTATAAAACAAACACTAATAATCAAATAGGATGTTAAATCTAACCTTTGGCTTTTATCAATAAGTACCTGAAGTTTTGAAACACGCTACAAAAGAAATGGAAAATATGCTTGCATGTTATATTCGTCTGACTAGAAATAAAAATTCATGTTTATTCAGTAATATTAATCATATAAATTAAGGTCTATGCTCTTTAATTTGCATGTTTTCATTTAAGAAATAATGATGATGAATGTGGATAGTTGTTATAAAATTTGCCAGTACTGTTGGCTTATAAATTGATGAACACAGACCATGAAATGGCTAGCATTAAGCTATATAGATCGATCTCCTACCCAGAAAAAAGAAAAGGTTTGCTATGAACTGATGCTAGTTTGTAAATAAATGTATTCATTCATATATTACCAAGCTTTCATTAATCTTATTCAGTGGGCCAAGAACAACAGTCGTATACTTTTTCACCAGAATTGATACTTTAGCAGTAAGACATTGCATAATTAGTGCCCTCACATACCAACTTTACTTAAGCCAAGGTGTCTGTCTACATTAGAGGTTCATGAGGATTCTAGATATACAATACTTCTGTCCAATATGGATACATGGATTTTGTAGGATTTTATTCAGCAACTTGAAAAAAAAAATTAAGAATAAGAAATCCATACTTCTCCTAAAATTTCTTTTATACCTCAACATGAATTTTGGAAAATATGAATAAAATCAATTAAGAGTGTGTGAGGGTTAACACTCAACATACAGGTGTGAGCAACTTTGCGAGTCCATTCAGTTATTAACACTAATCTTGTAATTCTAAGTACATGTATGAATTTTGACACACACATCATCACAGTAACTTGTTTTCAAGACTGTCACATTCCTAATAATTCTTTGATGTTGAATTACAAGGCTGTAAGAAGTTAACAAGACAGTCAAGGATCAAATGAATACCCAAAAAGGCATTTTGCATGAATTATGAATCCATTATTTTATACCACACTAAGCAACTCATCCCATTCATGTATGTAATTTTTCATATTAATTTATTATCAAACTGTAAAACATATCATATGTTCACCATCAGATTTTGAAAAACTAACGTCACATATCAAGCCATAACATGATATCTACCACCAGTTCACAGCAAATCCTTCTGGGGCACATCTCCATACTTGATGCCAGTGCTCAGTTGAAACATTTGGCTTGTAAATACTAATCCATTATAACAATTCATGGCAGTTTTATACAACTAAATATTCTAGCTTCTGGTACAGTAAAGATACTCTATATGATAAAACACTAGGTGTTACGGCAAATAACACAATATGTTCTTTTTAAAAAAAACCAGAATTTCAAGATTTTTTTAGGATGAATCTCTGAATTTTCATTGACTTGTAAACTAAAGTTAAATTAAATGTCACCATTTTTAATGAATAATAAATACAGTTTAAGAAATCAAAGGAGGATGGAAAATTAATATAGTTTTGGTTATTATTATGGTAACAGTGCAAATAAAATGCAAATATTGTAGGATTTCCTTCCTTCTCCTGTTTGAAAATGAATTGCATCAAAGCATGGTCATGTGTTGATTGTTATTTTAATCTAGGAGTTACTGCCATCCAACCAATCAAGACACACCAGCATACTGCCGATAAAAGAACAGGCAGTCATTCTAGTCCAAACAATATTGTAGTGAATGTTCTCATGGATCCCAAGACAGAAATTCCACATGGCAAATGCATAGATGTCAAATTCTAAGCTGGTCAAAGCTACTCCATGCAACAAATTGAGGTCACATTTCAGGAGGAACTGTATAGAAACTCCATAGAGGGTGCCAGAAACTATTACTTTGATAAGAGTAGTGGTTAGGGTAGAAAGTCCAAATTTTTCAAATGTGTTTCTAAGTTACTCAGAGTATTCTCTTTACATGATATACAAAAATATAACAGAGATCTTGCCAATCATCTAGCTGCAAGTATAAGTGTAAATGTTACCTCCAGAAAAATATCAAAAAACAAAGTGGCTTCAATGGATTTATAACTACTCATAAATCACTGCTTAGGATAGATAACCAAACCAAAAGGCTTAAGTGAGCATCAAACTCCAAACAATGGGATGAGCAAAGCTAGAAGAGGGTGCTATTTACAAAAAAAATAAAAAAAATTCAAATTATTTGACAACAATCAATGACAGTTTGTTCTATTGAAAAGAAACAAGAATGGTGTCACAATCAAAATATAACACCTACAGTTACTTCCTAACAGTCAACATAAACAATCTACAGTTATTCCCTAAGGAATAAGACCTATTGAGCAGGAAGTCATCTTGCAACAAACAATGATCCAAAGCATGAGCAAATGTATGTGGTGAAATTATACTTGTAAGGAAAAAAAAATGGGGGGGTCGGTAGAACATTTGAAATCATGGCATGGCCTACTCAAATTCCAGATATGAATATCATCAAGATTGTATGAGATTGTATGGAAACTGAAAGAGGTCAACCAAACAAATTGGATGAATTGAGAGAAGTAATACAGGACATTTGGAAAAATATTACATACTCACACACCGATAATGGTTGTACTATCAGAATGGCTACTAATTTCTCTCTCTCTCTCATATAATTGTTAAGCATGATTTTTAGACCACATGATTTAGTCAGTTATGAATTATGACTTAACCTAACATACTATCTTCAACTCACATTCATTCCACTTCCATTTACTCAAAAGTTAGTTTGTACATCTCAGATACTCTGCGGTTGACTTAACTGCTAAGGAACCACTATTACTCAAGCCAACAACACTAAAAAAATCACAAAAGCCAAGAGATAGGGAAGTTGATATGCAAATTCAGAATATTAGAAGCCTGATATATTAAATGAACAGAGACATTATGTAACAAATATTAATATTTCACAAACAACTTGCTTTAGTACAAACCTTTTCAAAATTTTCATGCTAACAAGGCACCCTAATGGCTCAGTCCAAAGTTCATTAAGTAAAACCACAAACATTAAATGTAACATGATATTTTCAAAGTTCATGAAGTAAATTAACACAACTCAAGTCTAGCATGATTCTTACATAGTTCAAAAGTAAAATCACAAACATTATACCTAATCTCAAATTTACAAAAAACCCAATTAAATCTAAGTATAACATGATCTTTACAAAGTTGATAAAGGAAGTAATGGTTTCATGTAAAAATCTAAATGTGCAGTTGCGTGATTTAACTTTGTTACTCTTGAATAATGCAATTTTCTTTTCTAAGTTCATTTTGTTTATAAAAGACTGATATAAATTAATACACAAAAACTTTTGTGTTTTTTTACTAACAAAAAGGATGAATAGAAAACCAATAGAGAAACTATTAGTATTTGCTTTCTTTGGTGTTTAGCCCTGATCAAGTAGTATACTTTTAGGTTCTGTTCAAGTCTCTCTCCTTTACTACATCTTAACAAAATTAAGATTATATTCTTAATTTGTTTATGAAATTTCCATAAACAACACAGACTGCCTAGCCAAGCATCCTTTTGCAAAACCTAAATATCCTGATTTTCATTTTTGTCAGTAATCTGTAATCTTTTATACTTATATTCAGTATTTTGAGCCTCTGATAACCATGAATCCACAAATACAAATTTTTCTAACTGAGCAGGAAAACTTGCACAGCTTGAAATGCCTCAACATTACATTTGCTGCTTTATCTGAAGCTGACTATAAGAAAGGATGCAGCAGTTGACATGAAGTCAAAGTTGTTTACATCACTGAGCATATGATTTTACATCCACCAACACAAAAAATGATAACTGAATACAAATGACAGGTGCTGTTACTAGCCATTGTTTAGCTTTCAAGTCATGAAGTATTAATTTAAAATATATCACGGCTGGATAAGTTGCTCAAACTTTTATGAGAAACTTTTGATCAACAAGAAGTTGCCTGAAAAAAAAGTCACCCATCAGAGAGGTAATAATGTCATCAAATGAAAAGGATATTTATTATTTGCATAATTCCTAAAATAAGGAGTGGTGTCCCAGTTTTAAGCTCTGAAAATCCAATTGTTTTCCAGTTTCATGAAATGAAAATCCAGTCCTCACTTATGCATAGTATTGGGTAAAATAATATTGACTGGACATTGCTAGAAGGAAACTGTTGTGTTAAAAACCTCATCAAGTATTCAAACTTTTTCTCTTTTTTGAATAATTTCAGTGTTTTTGTCCCAAAAAGAATCTTTTAATGTTTTAACAGAATGTTTTAAATATTATTTATACATTCTACATTAACTACAGACAGTAAACAAATTTTACCTGAGCAACATTTTCAAAATGTTCGTGACTTTTCTGTAAGGCTCGTGCTCTTTGTAGATTTTTGCCTACACCAGTGTTCTTCTGAAGAAAGACTTCCCCATGATTATCCAACCAGTCTTCTACCTAAAACAAAACAAAAAGTTCATACTTAAATAGCAATTTCTGGTAACTATAACTACTGAAAAATCAGCTAAATACCACTGTTGGTGTCTGATGATAGGAGTGTATGATTACTTAATACTAAATATTAACATCTGAGCAAGAACATGTATATGAGCAACGTTACAAAAATATTCTAATAGA